GCGTTTCTTCTAGACGCCGAGCTGAAACAACATATTTGCCATTGTCTGCGCTCCATGGCGCATCTGATAGGCGGCAGCGTGCTTTTCTATTCCAATAAAATACCCAAACTAGCGAAAACACTACGCGATACCATAAGTCACTTGGGTTTCGGTAGTCCTACGCATCCATTTCGCTCACATGTGACCGACAGCGCGGATGCGCTATCCATTTGGTTCGGCACCGATAGTTGGGATCAGATTGGCAGCGTTGGTGTGCTAAGTGTAGAACGTATCGGCGCGCTATTGGCCACCGAGGCGCCGCAGTTGAATGAAGTGGGAAAAAAACGTTCTGCAAAATCGAAAACACATATCAATGATCCAGCCAAGGATCCAGGGTTTCGTGAGAGCATCATCGATGAGATGCGCGCGCAGAAGGATAAAGAGCTGCAAGCGCTTATTAAGGAATCACAATTACGTGGACAGTTCGAGACAATTGTTTGAAATGTGTTGGGTAGTTTAAGCACTCGAGAATTAAAGGAAGTATGGATATCAGAATATATTACATGTTTCTGATAAAATATTTCAGTACAATCTATAAAGCTGTGACTGTAAAGCTCAAGTAATAAATGTTTTACAATCTTCTTCGGTAAAAAAATTCATATTTACTTCGGAAACTGAGAAATAAGTGCGGTATTTTTCCTTGCGACCATCGTCTAACTGAATAGGTTGAAGAACTTTCTCTCCATCAAAGCAATTCTCATAGAAATAGTATGAATCTGGTTTAAATGTTTGTAATTATGTGAGCCTCTAAAGTTATCTATAGGAACCTATATATAAAATAAGGTCCGACACTTTAATGGAAAAGATCATGCTTCAGAACCACGATCTCTACTAATTACTAATCTAGTACATATATCAAGCAAAGGCGTGATAACAATTTATGAATAAACTCTTTAGGTTATGGTGAGAATTACAATACTTTGGGAATAACCATAGACTTCTGCGCCTTGTAAAATTCTAATGGCAAAGGTCTTGGCTTCATATTATTCCGACAGAATCTGCTGACTCAAATATCTTTTAGCAGTTGTTCTCATAAACACGTAAAGGTGAAATCAGACATTGCTATCGACAAATAATATGAGTTGGAAACAAAACTGAATGAAATTTGAAATCTGAAATTAATATTAACTCATTCTCTCCATTTCTGAAATATTGTTTAATATTATTAACCTTATCACGCAAGAGGGCGCACACCCTGTTTCGATCGACCGTCTAAACCTAAACTAACCTAGCCTTATCACTAAAAGACGTAATTTAGCCAAGACTTAAATCTAAGTAAATCCACATTTCGGGCGGCATATCAGAGATACCCCTTCCGTCAATAATAAACACACTGAAAACTTTTCTACTACTTTCCCTCATCATTTGGCTGATCTACATCCATCAACATCAGCCCGCATCATAGTGTGATAAATGCTGAGCTAAATCTAGGTCTTCATTAAATTTTATACTACGAAATAACTGTTGACACAACGAAGCATGAATTTCTCCTGTGATTTCCAGTCAACAGTCCAGTTACAAGGTCAAATATTATAACTAAACGAAATATAATTAAAATTCGACCGGAAGGTGTTCTCGGCTCACTTTTATTTCGTTTCGAAAATTCAAAATTCGTGCAGTCATTAGCGAAAGATTAATGTTGTTGGATCTTATACGCTAATGAACTTGGTTTTTTCTTCAAAATCAACTGCGCCGATACCTTATTGAAGCAGAGCCACACCAACTTCATTCGACTATTTACTAGATACGAGTGAGTGAAATTTTGTCTCTCTTTTCGGTTAAAGAATTCAATTTATTACCAAAACTCTAGATAAAGATCTCGAGTGATCTAATTAGTTTCGAGTAATAGTTGAACCGTTATTAATATAGAGTTATATGCAGTGTTTATTATCCACTACCACTACAACAACAATTGCTTATGGCGTAGAGCTCACCTAAGGACTTTTTACAATATATCCTGAACAGGGTATACATATTTACATGCCTATATAGTCCCCCAGTTTTTAAGATATTGATCTGAAATTTTGTACGCGTCCTTTTCTCTATAAGAAGATGTGATTTGTCGGAACCGTTAATATAGGACCACTATATCATATAACTATCGTACAAACTTATCGATCATAATTAAGTCCTTGTATGGGAAGCTTTTTTATTTGACAAGATATCTTCAGAAAAGTTGGCATAGATTATTGTTCAAGGCAACGCTATATGCTCCCAGTATATTGTTCAGATCGGATCACTATAGCATGTAGTTAACAAACTGATCGATCAAATAGTCAAGACCTAGTACAAACTTCACGAAACTGACATGATATCTTCACGAAATTTGGCATATATTATTGTTCAAGGCAGCGCTATATGCTCCGAAAAAAGTATTATACAAACTGATCGATAAAAATCAAGCTCTTGTATGGAAAACTTTTTTATTTGACAATATATTTTCAGGAAATTTGTCACGGATTATTATTCAAGGCAACACTATTTGTTCAGATCGGATCACTATAACATACAGCTGACATACAAACTGAGAAATTAGTCCATGTATGGAAAATTTAAATAATTTTAAGGAATGTTGACAATCACTGGCGGGATAAAAATTTAGAATCTATAACAACAATACTATATTCTCTAGCAGTATATTTCACAGTAGAACTTAAATGTTTTTTTTTACCGTTTGTTATATTTCATTTTTATATAAATGTTTGGTCGTTTTTATTATATGCAGAATTTCACTATATAATAGGCTTTAGCTTAAGCAATTTACTTGCACAGAACGTAAAATATATACATATACATAATACGACACGTGATGGTGTTTATTAAAATTTTCGAGGGTTTTCTGTTTTTCATATTTCTTTACTAGTCATTAGAAGCCTAAGTACAAGCAAATACTACTAGTAATCTTTTATAATTATTTATATGTATTATCGGCTTTTAAACATATTCCTAATAATTATTTTTATTTTTCATAATCGTATTGTATATATGTATATCGAAACTTATGCCATAAATATGTATATACTTATATAATTTTATTTTCAACGCTTTTTTCCAGTTAGAGTTTTAAAAATTTCGCTAAAGAGTCTGTGACTGACTTACAGTAATGCAATACCAACACCCAAATGTGTATCCTGTTACAGGAAATATGTTTGTATACTTATGGTTGATAGGCGACAACAACAACATGTTAAATTTTTACATTCCAATGCGCGCTGCTGCACCGCTTGGCAATGTTAGCTTAAAATACAAACAAGGAGAGAACTTGCATATTAACTGAGAACCGAAGTACAGTGGTGAGTAAAATTACCACAACAATAATAAAAATAATAATAATAAAAATAAAAATAATAAAAATAATAATATAAATAATAATAATAAAAATAATAATAATAAAAATAATAATAATAATAGTAATAATAAGAATATTAAAACAATTGTCTTAAATTAGTGCAACAACAAAGAAAATTAGGAGCAACGCGTAAAGCCACTTCGACGGCAATTTGTGGCATGCAACAACAAGTGTGG